AATATTTCATATCGTCGATTAAAATTTTCATTTACATTGAGTATTTCATAATTGCGTAATAATCATATCTCATTACTTAAATGCTTTTTGTATATGTAAGTTAGTTAAATCTTTTAAGAGTAAGTTAGTATAAATCATTTTTAATTAGTTACACGTAGAACTTGGAAATGTAAAAGTGCTTTTAATTCAATTCAATATGTAATTATGTGTATTTTAATGATAATAAATGCAATAATATTATATTATGAAACTTTATTTATTATAACATTGAGAAGTATTTTATACTAATTATACAATTAAACATGATATAAACAAATAAAATGATGCAGAGAATATCTATGTACAATTGAATAAAAGATTTGTTCTTTTGTGCGTCATACAGAGAAAAAGAAATGTGATTAAATTATCCAGATATTTTAAAATACTTATATCTTGATTTGGGATTTTATATTGTCTGAATAAAATTGTAACATACTATAATTTTAGATTAATTTATGTTTATAATTAACATATAAATTATATGTTAAAAAATATATATTCAAAAGTCAAATACTATTTAATTATGAAAATTTAAAATAAGAAAACTGATTTATTTTTTTATTTATATTTAATTGCAATAAGTTTTCAAACATTATCAAATTTTTATTTTTCTATTAATTCTTATGCGGTGAATGCGTATACATCGCATGAGAAAAATTAATCATTATTCATTACTTACAGGTGTATTGTAGCCCAGAGTAAACCCCAGTACAGAAAAATTATAGATGCATGTTGCAAAGAAATTTTATTGAAAGATTGCAACATTATAAATTCTCTCTCTCCTCTCTCTCTCTCTCTCTCTCTCTCTCTCCTCCCTCTCCTCCTCTTTACTAGGAATTTTTCTATATACTTGCTCTAATGGAATCCCTTAGCCAAAATTGTCATCTATTGTTTAATTCTAAAAGAAAAATCAATAAAATTCAAAGTAATCAACCGGAAGTTTGTGATTTATTTGAAGAACCGAAACTGTCGGCCAAAAATCAAAATCATAAATGTGCTGTGTGAGACGAAGATATATCGATCCTGGATATAGCTCTTAGTAAGTACGCAAAGCGCATGTCAAACAAATTAGAATCTTTGACAGATAATTCTCTCTCATTTAGTTACTTTGAAGTTTTACAAATGTCTTCTAATCCTGATTAATGAGAAAGAAAAGATGAGCTTTTCTGAACGATACGAAATCGATCAAAGGATTCTACCAACGACGCACAAGAAATCGACTTGGACTAAGTCGACCTTCAATGATAATACTTATCACCATAGAAATTTTTCCAGGTTAACCATAAAATTGAATATTTTTATTTTCTTTTCATGCTTTTTTTTGTGTGAAATAAAACAAACATTTCTGCTTAAATAATCTGATAAAATTATATACAAAAAGTATTAATATAATAGAATCGACTTTTTATTCTTAAATTTCAGATATGTTATCTGATATATTTGATAAAATCTTTATCTTATTTATATAACATATAATTTATTTATAATCTATATCGATATTTAAATATTTTATAAAATCGTATTCCGTCATGTTCTTGGTTCGTAAATTTTATGTATAGAGACTCATATATATGATATAATCAAAAAGAAATAATTATACAGCAAAATAAATCGAAATGATAAAATAAATCTTTTTTTAATAAAATGTTGTTTTCTAATTTCTAATTTTTAATTTTAATTAATTTTCAATTTAATATTTTATTTTGTGTTAACGTTTCTCTTTTTGATTAAATTTTTCGATATATATACCTTTAATGATATATATAATAAATATAAATTATTTTAATATTGGAAATGACAAGGAAAATTTTATTTTTATTATCTCTGTTTCCATTTCTAACTAGCATAATTTCTTTATATCTCATTACCTTTTTATAAAATATATTTATAATATACAACAATTTCAATTAAAATAAAATAATACTTGTACAGAGAAAACATAAAGGATGAACAATCACCCTTTGTTTTTCCTTCCTGCTCTCAAACTTTGGCTTATCTTCAATGGTGGAAAGCACAGAAAAAAAAGGCAATATCTAAAAGAAAAATCTACAAAGATCGGCCTACTAAAATTTCGCAATACCAAAATACTTTGCAAAAATTACATGTAAGTTATGTCTTTCAGTTACAAGAATTTTAATGTATATTGTTTTCATTAAAAAAGTAAGAGATAACGGTCCTTTTTTTTCTGTAATATATTTTTATTAGAATAAAATATTATATGAAAGAAATTTTTTCTTAAAATTTACCCTAAAAATCATGGAATAATCATGGAACATCATGATATTTAAAAAAATTTTTTATTTTCTCTATTAATACCTATTGCAATATCTAATAAAATATGTTTTGATAAATTTTATTAAAACATTTAGTAAAATGAGTAAATTTACATGTTAAGCAATTCATGATATTTTATTATTTTAAATAAATAAAAAATAAATATCAAGTGTAGGGACAAATAATTTTATAACACTACATGATATTTTTAGTTCAATTTAAGTATTTATGACAATTTTACCATGCAGTATAGTAATTTTCATTATAATCAATCGATAATGTTCACGGATTATTAGTTATCATTAGTTATGTTGCAATGCATGCAAATTTTTATAAATTATTAAAAATGTTAATGATTTTAATTTATATCCTTTTTTATCTGTATTATTAATTATTATAATTATTATAAAATTGTTTATACATAAAACTATATTTTTGAAAGATGGGTCATTTAGATGAATAATATCCAAAAATTTGTTAAAAATTAAAAATTTTTTATTTTTTTATATAATTATTATTCATGCATCTATATTTCGTACAGAAAAACATTAAAATAGACATAGAAGAAGTAAAGAAACTTAAGGATCCAGATAAGATAATTACCACGATAACAGATATATATCCACAATATTTCACAGAATTATCTGGCAGATCTGTGAAAGAGAAGTTTTCATTGGAACAATATATTCGAGATGTACGAGAAATATTGAAAACAAGACTCCTCATTGGTCAAGAAAAAGATGACTGTATCTATATTGATCAACAATTTGAACAAGAATCACGTCGACTACAACAAATACAGGTATAAGATGCAATTAATAAAAATTATAAATCAATATTATTATAATTAATATATTTAAAGAAATATTTATAGAATAAGAGATATGTCTATAGCATAAAGAAAGAATCACGTGTAGTGTACTCCAAATGCGGGAATTTTAGGACATTCTGTATATATATATATATATATATATATTTTATTATCAATAACAACAAAAATAATTTATATTCAAAAACACTTGCGTAAGAATTTTAATGAATAAGATATGATTTATTTTTCTTAAATGAACATATTTTGATAAATTTGATAAATTTATCCATTTTATTGTTCTACAAAAGTATCGATGTCAACAATATGTAAGTGGCTTCGAGGAACTTCTGTCAAAGGATCATCAGAAAAGTATGAGTCTATTAGAGGAAGCAGAACGTGAAGTAATATTAACTGAAAAGATTAGTGCTCAAAAGGATGAGCTCGCGAAACAATTTGGTCAGAGTAGACTGGATGTTTATATCTTGGAAGAAAGTTGGAGAATGGTAAAAATGTGTCAAATGTTTCTTTATCGGATATCACCTGTCGCTTGGAAAATCAAGCATGAGTCGTTTCAATTCGACTTAAAACAGAGCATCGTCTCTGTCGATACTACGGATTTGTTTGGCAGATATAAAATACTAGATGAAGATGTATCTTTAGAAAACTTAATAGGTAATTCAAAATAGAATATTTACTATTGAATACTTTTCAAAAGTGAGTTTTTTTTTAATGTATAAACAATTTTTTTCGTATTAGAATTATTCGAACAGGATATCGCCGATATGGATGCAACCGAGCTGTACTTCGAAGATCCTTTCGATTTAATTCGAATTTTAAGAGCGATGGAAACCCAAAATTTAAATGCACTCATACATCTCGAATCGCTCGCTGCGCCAATGGCAGACATGACTGTGACTATTACTGTGACCGAAGCACGGATCAAACGAGAAATCAGTGAGATTACTTCAATGATTAATGATTTGGAAGTACGTATCAATTTAAATTAAATTCATAGATTGTGCATTAAAGTATACATACCAAATATTGAAAAGATCTGAAGGCACAGAATCTAAAAGCACATTTTTATTAAAGCCAGAAAGATTATTGCTACTACTTGGGTTGGGGGTTGGGGGGGTTGGGTTGGAATATAAAAATATACGTATGTCATTTAGGTTTTTATAAACAATGTCGCAGCATTATTTATAATATTCCGAAAGCATCTGCATGATCCTACAAAAGAGATATAATTTTCCAATGTTGCCATTTTATTGCAATATTACAAAAAGCAGACATCTTAACATTGCTGCAATCTTACAGCAATGATGCAGCAATGTTTCCAGTAATCAATTTGCAATATTATAATGGCTTTAATAAAATTATTCTGGAATATATCTGCTTTTTGTGCTCTTTATATGAGCTCTAATGAGTAATCTTGCGAATCAAAATATTTAATAGAATTCCATCGCCAAGACAGAGACTCGAGCGGCAAATCTCGAGGAGTACGCTAATTATCTTCTCCAAGATGTTTTTCGACGTCTAGTCTGCTCTGAGGAAGTACTTTATCTTCGTGTTTTCGTAGAAGATACTTATGAGAGTTGCATAGGTCCAAACGATGCAAATCTCGATAGTTTCTCGATGATGAAGTGGATCGAGAGAACTTACGAAGAACTTAATCTTCAGCTTGATAATTTACCTCGTGAAATTGTTCGCATTTGTGAACGGGAAGGATTCCAACAAGAAATGAAGGTTATAAAAGAAGCAGAAGATGCTACAAGGAAGGTAGAGAATTTAAATTACTTACTTGTTACCTATAGTGAGAATTTCATTAACTTTAAATTAACAATGATTACAGATTATCTTATAATTACAGAATGTCTTATAATTATTTCGTGTAATTAATATTCTGATTGTAATTTGTTTGATTGCTAGTTCGAATTGATGCACCGATTATTAGATGCGCTTCAGCGCATTATGGATATGCCTACGAGAAAGAAACGGCCATTAATTCGACGTTCAGTACCAATCGTGACCAAAATAAAGCCACCGTTACAGCCATCGAAACCAACGGATGAGGAAACTGAATATTGTACCTTCTTTACCGATTATTGTAAACGTGATGACTTCATTACATATCGCTCCAAATTTCCAGATGATTTTGATCTAACATTTCAAAGCAAACATAACGATATCGAGACAGCAACATTGAAAGAAGATTGAAAGATATTTTTAAATCAAAAACAAAAACAGGACAAAAAGGAGAATAAGGAAGAGGAAAGAAAAAAATAAAAATGCTATCATTGAAAACGTAACGGAATCGGCACATTTATTTGAAAAATCCTCGTGCGTATATATCTGAAAGGATCGTATCAGTCTAACGCGCTATGCATTGTCAATTACTTAGCTAGCGCTATTAATATGTATACATAAATAGGCGATTTAACAATCGATTGAAGCACGAGATAAAATATTCAGAGATAATAAAACACAACAAGGGGCAAGTATAGTATACAATAGAATTTGGAACGACAGTCGATATAAAAACAACAACCATACTCGACACACAATGATCTCTTGGCTGCAAAACGCCAGTTCACGCATTCCTTCATTATAAATTTTATAAGACTGCGATATGCGCTCCATCTTAGAATACCTTTTATTACACGAGCTAACTTTTTTTATAAAATTATTTACTAGGAATAACATATATCAAGTATCCTAGATTTTA